GGTAAATTATCATTCAGATTCATCGTGTTCTTATTTTAAAAAGAAAATTTTCACTTTCATTCGCAGAATTAAAATCTATATGAGAAATGGGAGAGGAAAGAGAATTCCAGCATCCTTTTGCACAGCGACCTAGCATACCTACGCCAAATCGGCGTAGCTACCTGGGTGGCTTGACTCCGCCACAGTCCCTCTTTACAGGCTTACGGAACAGCAACCCTGAAATATTTACGTCACTTCTAGACATACCTAAGTCGTTGGGGCTGTTTCCCTGATTCCTTACGGTTTTGAATCAAAGATAGAATATTTATGTTAGTATGTTGAGCCCGGTTTAAATAAAATAAAAAAATAAAAAAAAAAAAAAAAAAAAAAAAAGGAAAACTGCTCCTGCCTCCGCCTTCCCGCAAAGCTTTGCGTCGCTTCGCCCTCCCGCATGGCGTCGATTCGTAAATCGAAGCTTCTTTCCGCCTCCCGTTCGCGATAAAAAGTATCGCCCACCTAATTTGCACTGTACAGAAATTTCGAGAAGCAAATTCTCAGGGATGCTTTGGTTTTAAGGCTGCCTCCTCCTCTTCAAGCCTTCTCCTTCTCCCATCAAAATCATAAGGTATGCTCGCTTGGGTTCTTTGGCGTGAGGTTTATACAGAAGAAGAAAAAGGGAATCACAATGTGGATTTTTCTTTGAAGCCTTCTTATTCTTGGCTACTGCTCACGGGTAGAGAAAGAGAGATGGGAGTAGAGAGAGAGAGAGAGAGAGAGAGAGAGTGAGAGACTCTTTCTTGTAAGTCGACGTGATCAACGTTGGTGTAATTCTTCAAATAATAAAATCTTCTACAACTCCGTAGACTTAGATAATTTTTCGAACCACGTAAATTTGTGTGTTCTGATGTGTTACTGTTTTGTAAATTTTCTCGTTCTATTTTTTTCTTTTTTTATTGATCGTTCTATATAACACAAAAATTGGTATCAGAGCTGTGGTTCAGATCTGAGGAAAAATGATGGTTGGAGACGAAGTGAAGGTTTCAAGGATCGAAAAATTTGATGACACAGATTTTAGTTACTGAATGATGCAGATAGATGATTATCTCTATGAGAAGAAATTTTATTTTTCGTTATTGGGAAAAAGACCGAAAAAAATAGATGAGACTAAATGAAATTTATTGGATCGACAAGTTCTGAGAGTTATTTGATTAACTCTGTCGAAGTTCATTGCACACAACATTGTCAAAGAAATGATAATTGCAGATCTCATGACATTCCTGTCAGATATGAATGAAAAACCATCGACGAATAACGCGGTATATTTGATGAAAAAGTTATTCAATGTGAAGATGGTGGAATGTACGAATGATTTTAATACTATCAAAAATCAATTATCGTATGTGGAATTTGAATTTGAAGATGAGATACGTGCACTAATCTTGTTGGCTTCATTGTTAAATAGTTAGGAAGTCATAAGAATGCTGTCAGTAATTCTGTAGTAAAATCTAAATTGAAATATGATGATATTCGTGATTTGATTTTGACTGAGGATGTGCGCAGGAAAGATTCTAGCGAGACCTCTAGTTTGAGTTCAACATTAAATGTTGATTCCAAAGAGAGATCACGTGACAGGAACTCAAGCAGAGGAAGATCAAAATCAAAACATAAAGACATGAGCAAGTCAATGCCTAGTCAGAAGCAACCTGCTGGAATTGTGACAAAACTGGCCACATAAAGAGGAACTGCATAAATTCCAAGAAGACGGAGAATGACAGCGCAAATGTGGCAACAAAGAAACACATGATGCATTACTGCTGGCAGTTCATAGTTCTGTTCATGACTGGATACTGGATTCATGTGCTTCTTTCCATATAACTTTCCATTAGGAATTAATGTGGAATTATGTTGCAGGTGATTTTAGGAATGTTTATCTGACAGGTGGAGAAGTTTTAAATGTGGTTAAATTGGAGATGATTGTGTTTAAACAAACTGAAACATACGTTGCCAAATTTAAAAGAGTATCCAACATAATCAGGTTTAAGCAATGAAATCAAACCACGAGAAATAGAAGGGACATAAAGTGTTTAAAATAGGTTTAAATGATATCGAGTATCTAAAATCAATCGATATGTTCCAATGGCTTCAACTGGAGCTTTGACTCGGTTTCCCATGAAGACAAAATTTTCATTTGGGTTTATGGTTTAAGTTGAATGAATCACTACATTGTATTAGAAACATGAGTGGTACAACCAGAATCAATCCACCAAGTATTATAAGAAACTTCAACCAAATTTAATTCGAAACATACAGAAACACAAGGTTTACCTTTCTTTTTGAACCAGTTTTTGCACTTCTAACACTCATTTTGATAGTGTCCAGCCTTTTTGCAAAAATGACACTTAATTTTCTTATGTTCATCTTTATGAATTAGGGCAGATTACACATTAATCTTTAGTGGTCTTTGCTTGCCCTTTCCATTCTTCTTTTCAGGTTTCTTTATAGCTCTTCTTTGATGACCCATGCGATTAATTGAGCGATTTTCTCATTTCTTAAGCATTGCTTCCTCTTAAATGCATATACAGTATAGTTCATTCACGTTCCACTTATCTTTTATGGTACGAGAACCATCAAATTTCACGTTGGTTAATGTTCTCAATAGTGTAACAATAAGATACTTATTAGCATAATTGACTGAGAATATCTCTTTCATGAATTCCTTAGCACTTTCAGTGTTAGAAAATGTACACTATATTGTTTGCTACAGTCATTCGCATAAACATTACGCTCAGTTTGTTCGATTTTTCCTAAGCTTTATAAAAAGATCATTGTTCAACACTACTATAATCAGTAAGAGCATGAGACTTCTCTGTCATGAGTGTCAAATCAAGATCCAAAACACTACGGTGAAACTGAACTTGCTCACACCATTCAGAGAAATTAAGCCCATTAAATGTCTGAACATATATAGCTTGAGAATGAAGAGAAACATGAGTAGATACTGAAAATGAATAAAGCATACTCACACATTAATGTTTCAAGTATTAAACATGAACTGATATTCATAACTAATCAGATTAAATGAAAACATTAATAATGTATTGAAAATTTCTCCTGTGTGATATAACAATAAACAATAATAAACATTATTGATGATTGATTTTGATTTAATATAATTATCAAATGTTTATACTCAAATTAGACATGTTTATTATCTTTGGATATATAAACATATCTAACCAAGTATATAAATATTTCGCAATCATATTCAAATATTATAAAATAAATAATCAACATTTGGGCGATTCACAAATATTTTATAATCAATGAATTTCAATATACCCATAATGAAATACAAAAGAAAAAAAATTGTTTCATAATAAGCATCACATACTTATGAGTAATTAAATTTAATTAATTTAACATCTTTTAAACATACTAATTTGATCACTTTGGTGACTAACAAATCAAATATAATATAGTCATCAAATATACAATAATTTCAATCACAACAATATACATTTCATAACATAAATTATAGGGTTAAGTCATGATTCAAAACCCATATTTAATAATACAAAAAAATAATCTCTTAATTCACAGATTAACTACAGTGATCTAATTCCAAGATTAAATTTACAGCGAAAATTTAATACAATTAATATACATAAAATTAAAATTAAAAAATCACTAATTCAATAACTTGGATCTGATACCACATGTTAGTATTTTTCTTTTGCGATCCAATTTTATGACCCAACCACTTTATGCATATAATGACCAAAATATTTGAATTCGTGATTTTTACGCATTCATTCATAAAAGAGAAACGTACATGTATTCATGATTGTAGATAGGGGTGTAAACAAGCCGAACACGAGCGAGCCCAGGCTTAGCTTTTGTTCGTCTCGTTTACATTTCGAGCTCAAAAAGTGTGTTCGTGTTTGGCTCATTTGCTTCGCGAGCCAAACATGAGCCGTTTTAAAAACCCTAATCACGTAGTCATAAGATGTTAAAGAAAACCTTAATCACGTAGTCATAAGATGTTAAAGATTTGAGCAAAATTTAAGAATATAATTTAATAATTTTGATTCTATTTTCTTCATTAATACTTTTAAATGGTTACTCATCACAGTTATATATATAATTGATTAGTAGTATTTCGAGCCAAAATGAGTCGAACACGAACGAACAAATATCTGTTTAAGTTGTTCATGCTCGGCTCGTTAACTTAGCGAACGAGCCAAGCACGAGTTGTTCGTGAACAACAAGCTGTTTTGACATCCCTGGTTGCAAGGAAGCTGGTTGTCTACTTGTTGCAGCTGTGTGAAAACAACTGTGGGACAGTTGTTGCTGGAAAAATGATCATTTAGCCCATGTAATTAGATATGAGAAGATGAAGTTTTTCTCTCAAATTCTCTGAAACTTTTTATACTTTCTGATGGAAAGAAATATACGATGTCTGTTAAGAAGAGAACTGACTCTCTTCCGAATTATGCGTTATTTAACCACCATCCATTAGATGGGGTTACTAATAAGTAGAATTTATGATAATTTAATTAATTTATTTATATTTATTATTAAAATAAATGACACATGCTAATAATCACTGTCCACAAGAGGTTACTTATCAAAAAAAATTAAGATAATTTAATTAAATAAATAACATACATTAGTAATCACCATCCATAAAGGGATTACATATCAAAAAATATTTAAGTTAATTAATTAATTAAAAGAAATAAGACGTATCAGTAACCATCATCCATAAAAGGTTAGTTACATATCAAAAAGTTTTATGATAATTTAATTAATTAATTATAATTTATTATTAGAGTTAGGGTTTGTGGGCAACGGCAACCACAATTAAAAAATTAACAGTACTTGCTTATCAACGTTAATTTCAAATTAAGCTTAGATTTTTATTGCCAATCAAACGAATTGCTAAACTATGTTAAATAAACCCCCACAGTAATTCTTTTACGAACCGAGTACAATATAAAGTCGCGTGGAAAGCCGGCAGCTTTACTGGTTTTCGTCATATCCTTGGTCTATTCGAGCTATATCTTTCCGAAAGCGGTGTAGACTCCACTGAGAAGAGGCAGTGACAGCTGAAGAGCGAAGAGGTAGTAGTAATATCTCTTTCGGTAGAGCAGAGAAGGAGAAACAGTTGCATAAATTTGGTAACAGTAAGAAGAGTGTTGCAGAAATGTCAGAACCCTCATCAACAGCTGTTTTGGCCCCTTTCCAATTTCCTTCTGGCGGGCCAAGTTCACAAATGTGAACTTTTTTATAATCCTTTTCCCCTTTTTCTTCTTATTTTACCTCCACTTCCATTGAGCAGAGCTGTAAGAGAGGCGCACGTCTTCCATTTGTCTTCTTTCTGGTCCAAGAATATTACTTTATGATTTCGATTCCATTCTTGCATTTCCTTTTCATTCGCCATCATTATATCGCTTTTCTTCTCTAAGTATATTGCCCGAGAGTCTTGTGATTCTTATAACTGCAAGTTTATCCCATCCCCAACCTCTCAGCTATCGGAGTTTTATATTGGATTTTGTCTTCTGAGTCCAATGAAGCTGTGTTCCGAACTTGAAGTTGACGTCAATGGTGAAGACATTTTTTTTGTTAACAAGGTAATGTGAAACGCTAGTTCAATCGATGTTTGGTTTGGAATTCTTTGCAGATTTTTATTTTTATTTTTAACTTGGATGAATTTGAGGCTTTGATAATTCTTTTGATTTTGAATTGATTTCGATGCAATATGCTATGTTTATTATGCTCACTTGAGGGTTGTGCCTACTATCAAGTCCCATTCATTTCTCCTACATGTAAATCTCTCTGTTTGTCTTCCTCTTTCAAAGCAAATCCTGAGAACTGCGTGATCATCTTTTATTTTCTATGGCTATAAATGATTCGGAGCTTTTGCTTTAAAGATGATTTTGCTGTTTCTATCTCTTCTTATCAGGAAAAAAAAAAACCTCAAGTTGTGAGACTTTAATGTTATGTGGCTTTTACAGCAACTATTCTTCTCTGTTCGGTGCATAGATTTTTAGTGTCAATTGTCGGGGATAATTTTGCACTCTTATTAATCTGGCCTTATCATTATATTATGTAAACTTATATATTTTTCTAATCATAATCACTACAGTTCTGAGAATTTAATGCAATTTTCTGGATATATCTAGTTAATTCAACTTACATACTGTAAAATTTGGACAATAACAGAGCTCGACATCCTGTTAATGCTCTGTTGTATTTTGTTTTCTCTGCTGCTCATCCAATAGTATCCTTTAAATCAAATTTCTTACATGTCTATCATATTGTTTTCCTACTCATTAATGCTCTGTTGCTTAAGAACACTCATTGCAGATTCAGCTTTACTGAAAATTTCTTCTTTTGCCTTGAAAAGAATCCAAGGCTTTATATTGTTACGCTCGTCGTTGAAATCAATTAAGATTACCATCTTTACGCAGGAAATACTTTGTTCATTCTCCAACAATTTAAACAAATTATTAAGCAAATCTCCAGAAGCATCAATCACAAAACCTCTGAAAGTGATTCTCCATGACTTACCAGGAGGGGAAGAGGCCTCGGAGCTCTTGACAAAGTTCTGCTTTGAAAATGGCAGAATCCTAATCACTCCAACCAACGCTTGCCTGCTAGGCTTTGTAGCTCAATCCATGGAAGTAATTGAAAATGCTGATTCCCTCAAGGGTTTAATCAAACAAGCTGAGAAAGCTGTTCAGTGTATCTCCGATTGGTCTTGGCCTGAAGTCTTAACAGCTCTACAACAATGCCAAAGTTTTTTTCCGTTTTCTGACTCTTCAGAAATCCTGGACAAAGTACTTGATTCTCTTGTAGCTAGAATTACCACAGCAAGTGATTCTAGCCCTTCAACTTGTTCACCCGACAGCTCAGTCCTCCGCAGATCTTTTGATACAAAGAGTAACATTAGTTTGAAGAACAGCCATCATCGAGCTTGGTGGTTCGAAGACCTCGTCATTTTAAGCATGGCAATGATTGATAAGATTATTAGAAGAATGATTTCTTTGAAAGTAGAGCATGCCAAAATCAGCAGATTTCTCTTTTATTATTTGAAATGCAAGCTATCAAATTTGGCTTCTGATGAGAAGAGAAAGGTGACTGAGACGGTCATCGAGCTCCTCTACTCTCTACACAGAAACTCGGTATCTTGCAAAGGCTTGTTTGATATTCTTCGCATCTCTTCATCTCAAAATCTTAGCAGTTGTTGCAGGGACAGATTGGAGATTATGATTGGCAGTCAGATTGATCAAGCTACTTTGGATAATCTACTGATTTCTTCTCCTACTAAGACTGAAAGCCTTTATGATGTGAACATACTCCTAAGGTTCTTGACACACTTTCTTTCTTGTGGAGGACGAACAACATTAGCTCGATTGAAGAAGGTTGCAGGCCTTCTGGATTTGTATATGGCTGAAGTTGCACCTGATATCTTCTTAAAACATTCAAAATTTGTAGAACTAATCACAGCACTCCCTGACATCGCAAGGGATTCTCATGACTCCTTGTATAGAGCCATTGATATGTTTCTTCAGGTAATATATTTAAGGGAAATATTCAAATATTTATTAACTATTGTTCATATTCATGTTCTAATTAGTATCCTTCAATGAAAAATCGCAGGTTCACAATAGATTGACAGAAGCGGAGAAGATGAAGATTTGTTGCACCATTAATTATGAGAAGCTCTCGTTACAATCTTGCAAGCACCTGGCTCAGAACTCCAAATTTCCACCTAGAACTGCAGTTCAAGCGCTACTGTCTCAGCAATCCAAAATCAAGGGCCTGCTCGAAGAGTCCAACCACTTCAGATCCTTTAATGGTGAACAAAAACAATCAAAAGATGGAGAACAGATCATTCTGTATGACAAGAAGGTAGATCCATTGATGGAAAATGAAAAGCTCAGAGCTCATCTCCAAGGCATGCGGTGGAAGGTGATAGAGCTAGAGAAGGCTTGCAGGAAGATGCAGAACCAGATGACTAAGATGGTGAAAACCAAGTCTTCCTGTCCGACAGGCTCAAGATCACTTCCCAGGCTCTGCTCATGATTAAAGATCTCTGATTTCCTTTATTTTTGGCTTTTATTCATAGCTAATCTGTACAGCGTACATTGGCATTTTGGTTTCCCAAACCTTTTTGTATGGACGAAAAGGTAAAGCTGGTGGAGAGCTGTGTGAAAATGAGAGCTTTTTGGATTGTTCCTGCTTTAATTGCTCGTTGACAAATCAATTTGTACAGCTTTTGCGAAGCTTTCTTCTTCTTTTATCATCTTTTCAGCCACAGTTTTATCTTTTTAACATCTCACACGCCCTAAAATTTCATGGATTTAATGGCGTCTGTGTTGCAGAACACCATTTACTTTCTTGTGATCTTATAACAGAATTTTGTGGCTTATATTGGGATGCAAATATACTTAATGAATGCTGAAGAAATGCTGGGTGTTGTTCGGTTCTGCAAGTTTCGCATTTGCATTTGGAGGCTATGTATGTTATTCATATCAGTATTATTTATATTAAACGTAGTAAATGACATCTTCAGCTGTCACGAGAAGTGGGATGCTCCTGATTTGATTGACATCAAACATTAATAAAAAGGTATGACATGAATATCATTTTTGAAATATTATTTGCAGTAACTGACATTTTTAAATAGCATAACATGTCATTATGTATGCCACTGAACTAAACAAATCTATTTAAAATTTTGTGATTGAGAGAGTAATGGCAGACATTTGGCCTTTTTCATAACTAGCATTGAATTCAATCTCATATTTTTAGTTTAAAAAAATATTATAGTAAATACATGGATGTGCATTTCTTCATATAATAATAATAATTGTTATTAGTATAATTATAATTATAATAAAAATAATAATGATAAACTCAAACCCACAATTTCATAATCTATAGCCTGCATTCTACCATTTTGAGGGCAGGTGGCAGCTCGAATGAATCCCTAATCTTTATTACAAATTTGGAATATTTAATTAGGCACAAATTTGATGTTATTATGAATGGGCAGATAGCAGTTGACTTGTTCTTTGGCTTGAAGTAAACTCAAGTGGGATTCTTTGAGGAGACCAGCAAGCAGAACATGGGTGAGGCTCCCACTTACTGCTGACACCTCGTGACCAACGGGGCCCTAAAAATAAATCAAACAAGAAGTTTTTTATTTTTTTTTGGAGTTATTAGTTTGATATCGAATCTTCAAGAGTGTGGAAAGTTTGTGGCGATAAAGTGATTATTTAATGTCTTAATATTATACTAAAACTCAGCACACACCCGAGAAAGTAATAAAGAGGAAATACCTCAATTTTGTTTGTAAAAATTCTAGAAAGGGGAAAAAATCACGAGACCTAGCTCAGTTGAAAAATCCACTATAAATAGTGAGTACACAAACTCAATCTTCTCCTAAATTATTGAAAATAGAGTACAGAGATGATCATTATATTAATTCAACACAAGTTCATCAATAATAGTCATAGTATGACTATAATGAATGCAGTTCTTGATGCTAGCACGCTGCAAGGGCCATAGTCGATTGCTATGGGGGTAGCAACCCATCATGAATGTTGTAGATAGTGGTTGCAGAGCTAGCTTATTGCATTGGTCGAAGTTGAAATTCATGGTTGTAGCTGGTTGTCTGGGCTGCATATAGTTGTTTCAGGAGCATTGATTAGCTACATAAGCCGTAGTAGGAACTCGCGGAAGTTGTGAGTGACTTAAGCCATAGTTGTTCACATGTGCTATAGTTGTGAGCTGTGATGATGTCTGTAGGTCGCAGAGATTAGAGTTGGGAGCTACACGAGTTATGATAACATATTTGGGCTGCAAAGGTCATAGTTGAGAGTTGCACTAGCTATGATGACATCAATAGACAACAAAGGTCGAAGTTGGGAGCTGCACAAGCTCTGATAACTTATATGGGCTGCAGAGATCAAAGTTGGGAGGCACATTGGCCGCTTACCCAAATATGTCGTAGTTGGCTATGTAGGCAATAGCCGCGAGCTGTGAAGAATTATGTAGTCCGCAATGGGTGGATTTGAAGGTTTGCACTAGCTTTGAACCACGTAGGTCATAGACTCATAGTTGGTCACGTAGGTCATACTGATGAGCTACGATTATGTTTGTAGGCAGAAAGAACCAGAGTTAGGAGTTGCACTAATTGCAAGCCACGTAGATCATATTTGTGAACTATGATAATGTTTCTAGGACTCAGAGATTGAAGTTAAGAGTTGCACGAAATGGGGACCACGTAGGTCATGGTGGCGAGTTGTGACAACGTCAGTAGCCAACAAAGGTCAGAGTTGGGAGCTGCACGAGCTGCTAACTATGTATGTAGGCCATTGTAGTGAGTTTTGTTGATATCTGTAGGCCGCATAGATGCTAAAGTAAGGAGCTGCACAAATTATGGTCCACGTTGGCCATAGTTGATGACATAGGTTTTAGTGTCGGGCTGTGAGGAGATAACATTAGGAGTCTGGGAAAAATCTTCGTCTTCTAGGTGTAATGTTACACTATATTTTGGGTTGGTTGTTACACCATCTTCAGGGGGAGTATTTGCGTCGTATTCATGATACTTTATTACTCTAGGTGCTTAACTGTTTTGCAATGTGCGCTGAGATTCTGCAATGCATTTTATCACTCTAGAGGGGACTACACTGCAAGGAGTAGATGACGACTAATGGTAGTCAATGGTAGAGGGACGCTGAGGGTGGTAGATGATGACTACCAGATTTTTGGTCGAAAGTGGTCAACGACTGTAGAACGATGAGGAATTCACCAGCTCTTTGGTGTATGAACGCTGTGAAGCTTTAGCTCCTTTTTCTTCAAGCTTTAGTCTCCTTCTGGCTCTAGGTTTAGGTCTCCTTTCAAGATGGGGTTAAGACTCCATTTATAGTGCCAAAGTTGGAAATAAGAAAGGAATTCAGACCATTATGATCAGACGACCTGAAGAGGTTCCCTCAATCACATGATGTTCTGTGGACATTGAAATTCATTAATGTATCAAAATTGAGTGGTTTTGGGTTTGTTAGATTTTATCTTGTCAAGACATTTGATTTGACTATAAACATGTCAGATTTAGAGTTCATTTGATCATTCAGTTATGCACTGAAAGATTCTAAAAGTGATTTAACAGCTTGATATTGGATCGATTTGGCTCGGATTTAGGTTCATCTTGTCAAGCTGGCCAATTTAACTAAATGGGTTTGTTTGAAGCGGCGATGTGATAACACACCACACTTTTTTCTAATTGACAAATATGTGTTTGGCTTGCTTTTTAGAAAAGTTGCAGTTAAAAGTTGTGTTTTGCATTCAGATCTGACCAAGTGTGATGACAACTAAAAAACTAAAGTCCTACTTTTTGAGAAAAAAAATCTGTGATAGCCAACGTAGTTTTTTGAATAGCTACGATCTTTTGCATCTGTGAACTTCAAACAGCCAAAGCTACCCAAAAAATATCCCAAGTTTGTAGAAATCGGAGTTCTGGATGACTTTTAATTTTCAAACAGCCAAAGCTACCCAAAAAATATCCCTAGTTTGTAGAAATCGGAGTTCTGGATGACTTTTAATCAAAGTTAGAACATTTTTGGCTAAATCAAAGTTAGAATATTTTTGGCTAAAAAAATTATCTTGAGATTCTTGCTATAGCTCCAGATTTGTGCTGGATGATGGAAATTTGTTGACGCCATATCAAATATATCTAATCACAATATAGTGAGCTTAAAAGTATAATATTTATTATGCCTGCAGTAACAATAAAGCCAATTTATCCTAGTCAAAGGTCTTGAACTTAAGATGTTATTATTTTTTTATATTTATTAATTATTTGGTATTTTAGGCCAATCATTATGATTTATTTGAGCTCTTTGAATCTTCAACAATAAAGCCAATTTATTCTAATCAAAGGTCTTGAACTTAAGATGTTATTATTTTCTTATAATTATTAATTATTTGGTATTTTAAACCAATCATTATGATTTATTTGAGCTCTTTGAATCTTAAACACGACGGAGGCATAGTGAAGTCTCCTAATTGGGACGATAAATAATAAGAACCATTGAGCTTTCTGAAATCAGTTATTACAAAATTAGAATCAAATGAGGAGCAAAGCTTGATCCGAACAACATAATAATTATCAACTTTATACCAATTGTGTGGCATAAACCATGCTTCTATTTATTTATTTGCTCCCATTCATATCATTTAACTAAACTATAATATAAACTAATAATACAGAATTCTTGAAAAGTGGCCGCTCATTCTGACAGAGTGAAGACAAAGTAAATTGAAGATCCTTGTGGTAGTGTGCAGATGCTGATACTGTCATTAAAATCCCATTTTATTGCCGACGATAACATAAGAACTGCTGGAGGCGAAATTGAGGAGAAGAAGCCTATTGATGAATTATTAACACCACAACATAGACAAGAGTCCGAGGAAAGCGGCGATTGGCACGCGGGAGTAGTAATAAGGGATGACGCTTACGGCATTGCAAAGCCCCACGTACGTATTTATTGGCAGAACAACACTCGTGGAACTAACACAGGGGGAGCTGTTGTGCATTAATGGGCTCTGTATTACGGTTTTCGTGTAAAGTAAAAAAGAATCTCTGGAGTCAATGTCTTGTATTTTGGGAAGTATACGATAAATGTGTTTTTTTAGTATGTTTTTTTATAATTGATGTTAATTAACACTTGTCAGATAGACTCTGGGAGAGCATTTTTGCACCGAAATAGTTAGATGATATGTTAATATAGAGTGTTTTTTGTCAATTAACAGACTTTTATTTCTCTTTTTTCTTTGATAGGGAGAGCAGACTTGGAGAGCACCCAAGTCTGATCATTTGAAATTCTTTTATCTATTTCCTAATAATATGTTGCACGTTCAATTTTAGGATTAAAAAAAATATTTGATGGTTAATATATAAGCTCGAGTCTGTTTTATAATCATCATTACAGTTGTCAACACTATGTGTGGTGTCAATATGTAATAATTTCGCTTGTGGGATGTATAAATACTATATAAAGTCTATTTTGGGTAGCTGCAATGTTTCAAAAACACACATATAAAACTGTGGTGAGAAAATCAACTTCTTAGAAAATTATACTAAGAATTACAAATATATATTTGTTCTAAAAAATCAATAGCTTTCTTGTAACTACCTATTTAAACATTTAAGGCTGAGAAAAATTGCTTCGCATCTCAGTAATTCGAGAAGACAGTAAGAAAATAATTTCTTAAACAGAACTGTGGTAACGATCTAAAACTACAAACAGGCTTGAAAGCTGTCCCCAATATG